AATATAATATTTGTGAAAAAATCTCTAACAAATACACTATATACCAAAAAATATATAAAAATACGAAAATTTAATACATTTATCATATTTTTATTTATTTATTAATTTTTAAAAATATTTTTTCATAAATATTTTACTATTTAGATACATCTAAGTAAATTGCATCTAAAAAAGTAAAAAAAATTATTTAAAATTTTAAAAATATTCATTAGAAACAACAAAACATGAAAAATAAAAAAATCAATTTTCATAAAACTGAATTCAAAATATTGAAACTAAACACACTAATTGTAATTTTTTACTATTATATAGGGAAAATTAAAGTATATGAAAATATAGGACAATCTTGGTATTATAGAATATATATATATATAAATAATTAATTTGCTGGTCACTAATCTTATTATTTTTTATTGAAAAATGTAACTGTGAGGGGTGCTTCTACAATATTTATTTGATCTAACCAGTTCTTTGTTCAATTCTCGCTCCGATACCTGAAACAGGGAACATTCCAATAGGAATGTCGAAATTAACACTGTGACGAATAACTTAGATGAGGATAAAAATTTAGTTCTTTAGAGACTGGGAGAATTTAGTGGGGTTTTCATGCATACCTTCTTCATTTGCCTTCACCTCCTTATATAACTATTTAGTGTAGATATTTCTTATATGGTTTCTCTATTTTATAATTACTTAAATGTTATGGTCCAGTTTCTTACTATACCTTTTAAAAGAGACATTCAAGGCCCATTTTATCTCCTCAACGCAAGTATTTGTCGTTTCTACCAGTACCTCTTAATCGCCATTCCTATTTGTTGACGATCGTGTGCTTGGCGTTGAGCTCATCAAACCTATTGGGCCCGAACCAATTTGGATTTCATGATGGATGGGCCTTGGCATTTTGTTTGCCGATTGCCTTGATGATTTATTTGACTCACACAATAACTTATATAAAATAAAAAAATACTTGAAAATTCTTCATCAGTTAAAAAAAAGTCATATTTTTTTATTTTTAATGATTTATATATATATATATATATATCTGTGTGTGTGTATGTGTGTGTGTCAAAATTTTTACTTTTCAAATCTGTTTAGCGTAGAATGATCTAAGAGTATTTTTTATTTTTTATTTTTTGAAAAAATCTTAAAAAGTTCACTAAAAAAATGAAGGTTTTTTTAGTTTTTTTCGGTGAGAAATATATATATATATATATATTATTTTCACTTTTTCGGTCTATCTAATTAGATAAATTTTTAAAATATAAATTTTTAAAAGAATACTCTCTCCGTTTCAAAATATTAACCCCTTTATTCCATTTTTTATTATGTCAAAATATTAGTCTTTTTTAAAAAATGAAGGACTAAAATTTTGTTTAAAAAAAAAACTAAAATAATATGAATTTTCTATTTTGTCTTTCTTTTAAATTTATTAATAACACAAAAAATATAATTATAACAATTGATATTTCCAAAAAAATGTACTATCAAAAGATAATTTTAGAAATTTAATATTTTTAAAGTGTAATAATTGTACTATAAAAAAAATAAAAATAAAAAAAGAGTTAAATTTACCAAAAGAAATTATTATTATGAGACGAAAAGAGTATAAAAAAAAATCAAAAAATCACTTAAACGTCCATTTCCAAAATTGGTATAGGGTTCGTTTAGGATGTGGGTTGATTTTTTAGCTGTTTTAGTCTGGAGTTAAAAAATCTCGTTTGAGATAGACTTTTTGGTTATTTTGACCTTTGTGGGTTGGTTTTTTGACTATTTTACCCTGATGCTAAAAAATTTGGTTTGGAATGAGTTTTTTGGTTTTTTGGACTTTTGTAAAAAAAAAATAAAATGATTATGAATTGGATGTGATATTTTGTCCTATTTAACTAAAATAGTATATTTTATGTTATATGATTATTGGAAAATGATTGGTGGCCCTAAAAAATTTGCCCCTAATGCCCCTAATTTCCATTTTTGGAAACTGTTTCTTTTTTTCTTTCTTTTTTCCTTTTTTTTTTTTTTTTTTTACTTAAAGTGGAATTTCGGGGCATTCGAGCCCCGAAATTTAGGGCCCTCAATCACTTCCGATGATTATTTTACCCCAATGGGACATCCCAAACGAGCACTTAATGGCCTTGTTTGGTTTGTTTTTGCAAAAATAAATTTTAGATTTAAAAAAAAAAAAAATTTTGTCTGGTTTAGTGATTTTGAAAAAAAAAAATCCAAAATCATTATATATCTTTTATACATCAATCAATCACTTTTTTTTTATTCTTCTCAATCATTTTTTCTCTCACGTACATCTACTCAACTACAACAAAATATCAAATCATCTCAAACTCCCATACTCCAAAACTATTTCTAAAATATACAACCAAACAAATCAAAAAAAATTCTAAACTTTTTCCCTAATTTTTTTTTTACAAATTTGTTAGCACTATAAATCTGCAATTTTTATTATTATTTATTATTTATATAATTGCAGGACACGTGGCATCCTCTTATTCATTTGGAAGTTAAAAGAAGTTATAGAGATAATGGAGAATATGAAGGACAAAGTGGATGAGTGGGAAGACAAAGTGGATGAGTGGAAGGACACATGGCAAGACAAGAATGAAGATGGAAGAAATAGGGAGTTACTAAGTAGTTATTGCTGTATTTTTTCTTCTATAAATAGCCATTAATGACTACATTGTAAAGGATCCAGAATTCATAATCAAAGACACTTGATTTCAATATTTCTTGTTATTTTCCTTATCTTAGGAGTAGTTTAATATAGATTTATATTTCGAAGCATTTATTTTCAGCACTTTCATTTTGAAGCATTTTATGCACTTTCTTTTCGAAGTATAGGAGTAGAGGTAAGTATTTATTACTTTGATTATTCACTCAATCATCTTTCTCCGTCCCTTTTTCTTCTTTTACTTTTTCTTTTCGCTACACTTGGCAAATTTGAAGTCCTCTTCGTTGAGGCAAAAGAACTGTCAACACAATCGCTTGATAATTGGCTTGAATTTATCTGTAAGGATTTTTCAATCCTTGCTGGCACGCTCGCATTTATGATATTTTCCTTCGTAGGAAAAATAAGCCAACAAAATTTGACTCTTGCAACTAAACCAAACGCCCCCGCTATCTCTCAAAATCAATGCAGGGCCGTTTCTCAGTGAATAGTTGGTTTGGTTGGTAGGTAAGTGGGATGGGATTGAATGATGAAAAAAATGAACTAAGGTCCTCTCTCTGGCCACATTGTAATGGTTCAATCCCATCCCATTTAAGAAAGAATTTAATGATTCAGATCATTTTATTAAAAAATTAAAAAAATTATAATAAAATGATTTGAATCATTAGATTTTCTCTTGAGTGAATTTGGATCTTTACAAGAATGAAGGATAATAGAGAGTGGGCGGAGAGGATCCTTATTAAAAAAATATGGCCTCTAAAACTTTTCAAAAATTGAAAGAAAACTCAAGTTTATCTAACTAGAAATTTTTTGGTGGATGGTCGTTTGGAGAATTATGGCATGTTATAAAAAAGACAAAGAGTCAAAAAAAATTATTATAAAAGTAAATAAGTTATCACTATTTACAAAAAAAAAAAAAAAAAAAAATTTACATCCAAAAAAAATACAAGTCAACTTTCTATGACATGAGAATGGTACAGTCTGAAGTGATGTCTGCTAAAAAAAAAAAAAGTCTCAAATGATGGTACAAATTACACAGGCAGTGTACAACACAAGACGGTGTTGTTCGGCCAGTGGGGGCCATCATGGACCCTTTTTTGATAATCTGAACCATTAATGTGTAGAACTCGTCGAATACTATATATATGTAAAAAAATACATTGATCGGATATCGATAGCTATATGATCAAATCAGTTTTGTATAAAAAATGAACGTTGAACAAATTAACGGTTGACAAAAAACTAATCCAATAAGACAGCTATCGATATCCGATCAACGTTATTTTTTATGAGCATATAATACTCGACAAGTTCTACACATTGAACGGTTTCGATTATCAAAACGTGACTCGTGATGGGCCCCCACTGGCCGAACAGTACCGTCCTTCGTTATGCTCAGACTAGAGGCACCGTCCAGTATCAGCATATAGTCCTGGCTTCATGGCACAAAGGATGTCAGTACGCATTTATATATTTATGGGTATTATGATAATTTAGCTATTTAATACATATTTTTCGTAAAAAATTAAAAATTATTCTAAATAATCATTTTTTTCCTCTATTTTTTTTATTTAAAAAATCAAAAATACACTTTATTTTCATTCCAAATAATACCTAAATTTATGTATATAATAAATATGAATTACAACATAATGATTCTAAATAATTTATGGATTGATGATAATGGTAGGTTCCAAAGCCTACTTTGAAAACATTATTTTTTAATTTAAAAGTTAAAAAATTATTAAAAATATAAAAAGTGAACAAATTATATAAAAAGGCATAAACTCTATATTCTCTTTATTTATCTTTTTTAAAAAAATTAAAAAATTATTCAAAACTTAATAATTTTTTTAATTTATATTTTAATTAAATATTCAAAAAATTATTAAAATAATATGTTGCCAAACAAGGCTGTAATATTACTCAAAATTGAATAGGGGTAAATCACACTTATACCCCTAAGGTTTGAAATAAATACATATCATCCTATAACGTTTGAAAAATTACACTAATTCTCTTGTTGTTATAATTATTTAGACGGAATAAAAACATTAAATTAATCCACTCTATTTTTTCTTATTTTGCTTAACTTCCTCTATTTTTTTTCCTTTATTTTATTTTTTTTAAATATAATTTTTTATTTTTTATTAAGAATTGTTACCTATTATATAAATAAAAAAATTAAGAAATGAAATTATTAATTACAAGAATAAAAATATAATTTTTAAAACGTGAGATGGGCTGTAATTGAACCAAAGCGTCGGTGTAATTTACCGAATTGATAAGACCCATCTCTTGCTCTTCCCTATATAAATACCAACAAACCCAAGAAGCAAAGACAAAAAAAATTGGGTATGAGAATGGCAGAGGAGAGAGAAACATTGCTTCTGAAAAAGAAGAAGAAACCATTTATTACTAGAACTAGTAGTAGTCATTACAAGGAGGATTGCCCTGGTTGTAAGATTGAGCAGCTCAAGGACTCCAACCCAGGTCCCCCCGTCAAGCTTTTCTTCTTTCTCTGGATTGTTGTCCTATGTGCAGGTTCATCTCTCTCTCTCTCTCTCTAAGCAAATGTTAATCAGTGCCCTAGAATATTGATATTAAAATGGTAGATTACACTGAATTCTATGAGATTTAGGGAGAAATACAAAAAAAATCTCACTAGTGTGAGATAATTACATTATACTCCCTTGGGTTTTAATTCGCACATGCTTTTCTTTCATCGTAAATTTGTTAGCTTCTATTGTTCTCTCTTTTATACCCTTATTTTTTCTTTGTATTTTCATACTATTTTCAGCCTTTTTAGTCTTATTAAAAGTAGGAAAATGTTTGGGATCCGAGCACCTCGTGTATTGACCATTGATGTACCTGACCATTGATGTGCTTGTATCTGCCACCAGCCCAGTGACAGTGGTTCAGATCATTTGAGTTTTGTTTTGTGGTCAATATCGTTACTGTTAAAAGCATGTGGTTGTAATTGTGTTAAAATTTCAAACGTGTCAGAAGAGGTTAGTTTGATTTACCCTATTAAAAAGAAAAATATTTTGGAGCACTAATTAGTGCTCCCACTAATTAGGTGACAGTGGGTCTCGTCATTAATGATGTGATGTTTTGATCTTGGAGTTGTGTTTTTTTTTTTTAATGCATTAATACTATGGAAAATGCTAGAGGTCCCAAATTTTCTACCAAATAAATGACCAAATGTCTCACATGGGTGTGGGGTCCACAAAATTGCGGACCCCACACCCATGTGAGACATTTGGTCATTTATTTGGTAGAAAATTTGGTGTCCCTAGCATTACCCTAATACTATTAGTGGTGATATTTTTAGTGGGATGCATCATTATTGTATTAAAAATGATGAAAAATAAATGTTTTCAAATCAGTTAACAGTGTTCTGAAATTAGTGGAAAGTGTTTGTGTTTTACTTATATACTAGATTGTTTGCACGCCTGATGGGTAAGAAATTATTAAATCAAAATATGAGGTAGTTTGTATGGGATAATTTGGGAATCGAAAAAAAGTGTGACAAAGTTCACACCAAATTGATTTGTACACATTATATAACCAAATATATATATATATATATATAATAATATTTCATACGAATGATATGATAGTGAAATTTTTGAAAAATATGAACTTTCCCTTTTGTAGGAATGGCAATTTGCCCGGGTTTTCCATATCCCAATAGAAAATGGGGAGAGGGCGGGATTTGCTTTTTCTACCTCCATTCTGATTATATTAACTAGCATATTACTCGTACTATGTACGGATTATGTTTACAATTATATATATATGTGAATTGTGATTTTTAATTTTTTTTAAATGTCTTCTTTTTTTCTTTTTTTATATTATATTAAAATTTAGGTCAAGTTTGGAAAGACTAAATAAGTGTACTTTTTGACTTTTTATCAAGTATGGGTTGGATTTGGGTTGGGTTTGAAATGATGTGTTAGAGAGGTGATGTGACTTAAATAAGATGATGTGACTTAAATAGGATAGTGACTTTTTGACTTTTTAAATTTTTTTGATGATGCCAAACTTGGCCTTAATATTTTGATAATAATCATATGTGTTGGACTTTTCAACGAATTAAATGTCTTTTTTTTTATTATATTATATTTAAAGTTTAAAATTTTGATAATAATCATATGTGTTGGACTTTTCAATAAATTTTTTTTATACTTGTTCTTAATGCATTAAAGTGTTATTATGAGGGATAATAATCATATGTGTTGGGACTTTTCAAGGAATTCATGTGTTGGATTTCAAAGAATTATTTTTATGATTGTTGTTAATGCATTAAAGTGTTATTATGATAGTAAGACTTGGGAGTTGGGAGAAGTTAATAAATGCAAAGATAATTTTTTTTTAAATAAAAAAATCAGAAAATTTAGATTGGGAGATTGGAGCCCTCACAAGGCTTGGGGTTAAAAACCCCCCCCCTTTTGCTTATGCACGGATTGTTTTTATAATTATCTATATATGTGAATTGTGATTTTAAAATGTTTTTTTTTTTTAAATGTCTTCTTTTTTTCCTTTTTTATATTATATTAAAGTTTAATATTTTGATGATAATCATATGTGTTGGATTTTTCACGATTTTTTTTTTTTTATGTTTGTTCTTAATGCATTAAAGTGTTATTATGAGTGATAATAATCATATGTGTTGGAAATTTTCAAGGAATTCATGTGTTGGATTTCAAAGAATTTTTTTTATGCTTGTTCTTAATGCATTAAAGTGTTATTATGAGGGTAAGACTTGGGAGTTGAGAGAAGTTAATAAATATTAAGAATTTTTTTATAAAAAAAAATCAAAAAATTAAGAAATTTAGATTGGGGGATTGGAGCTCCCACAAGGCTTGGGGTTAAAAATCCCTTTTGCTTAATATATAGTATAGATTACATAATTTTGTATGTATATATCTATATTTTATCTAATTTGTTAAACATAATGCAAGTGAAGCACCAAAATAATTATATAAATCTTTTTTTTTCCACCTCTACGCTTTTGCTTAAAAATAATAAAATCAAGAGTAAATTACACTTTGCCCTTTTGTATTTGGTCACTTTTTCATTTTAGTCCTTAGAGTTTATTTTTTCCCACTTTGGTCCTTCATATTTTAAGTTTTTTTCAGTTTACTACTAAAGTTAATTTATGTTAAAAATTAGACAAAAAATGACACGTTAACAGTCACGTGACATGAAATATTTTATTATAGATATATCACATTTCTAACATAAATTTAAACTTTAATATAATAATATATTTTTTATATTATGTGACAGTTATTATGATATTTTCCATTTAATTTTGAACAGATGGGGAAAATTTGAAATAGAAAGGGCCAAAGTGGAAAAAAATAAATCTGAAAGGGCCAAAGTGGAAAAGTGATCAAACATAAATGGGGCAAAGTGTAATTTATCCTAAAATCAATACTTGCATATTATTTTGTATTGATTTGGTGTACTATTTTTCTATTTGTATATCATTGATGGATCGTTGAACACACCAAATATAAATCACTAAACTATATCAAATTCTTTCAGAATAATGGCAAGTCTAGGTATCGATCCACAGGGACAATTGTGAAATTAAACTAATTTAATCGCTAAATTCCTAAATCAATTTTGGTTAAAAAGATTTGAGGATGCTATGACTAAACAAGAATTAAATGAAATTGAATAATTAAATTGAATATTAAAATTAGGGTTTGAGATATTAATTTTTGGGAAAAATCCTAGGGTAAATAATTCACCACTAACCACATGAACGAGATTTAACCAGCCATCAATTGCAATCCGGTTTGAAATACCTAATATTTCACAACTACAAGTTTGAAACATTGATCAAGAGGGTTGTCGCATTCAAAGTACAGGCTCGAATCATCCCGAGTAGTACGAGTCGTTTGCTCTAAACTATGGTAGTAACACGACCCGTCTCTCGTAGCATGACTCGTCTCGTACTTTGAATGCAAACACAAAGAAAACAAATATATGGAAAGCATTAAACAATCACAGAGAGTAAAATACTTGAAGAGATGGAAAAAAAAACAATTATTAAAAACTTCTAAATCATCCATACATTGATTCAAACCGATTCACAATCAAAGCTTATGAAAAATCCTATTACATGGCTAGGGTTTCATCAAAATCCTAGACAAGACGACTAGCCACTCATGGAGGAATGGGAAAAGGAAGAAGATGAGGAAGAAACTCTCATGGAGGTGTCCTTTAAGATTTAGGAGAAAATCACCTCTTTAGAATCCTAGCCTCTCTTTTTTCTGAATTAATTTTTGAACCCTAGGTTTGGCTATTTTTCTTTCTTTTATTCTCAGCAAAACAGACCAAAAATTCTGTGCACGCATCCCTAGGTGGGCCGCTCAAGCCGTGGTGGGCGTGCGGTGGTCTGGCTGGCTCGGATTCTTCACTTCTTGCACGAAAGATTTGTTTTTGCGCCCTTTTTGATTGAATTTTTATATTTCCTGCCAAATATGTACAAGTGCACGAAACACATCATCTTCACCAAATAAACAAAATTGAAAGACTAAAAATGTAATTTAAGTAGCTTGAATGTGGTACCTTTCAGCCTACATCACATCCTCCAACTTACATTTTGCTAGTCCTTAAGCAAAACAAAAGAAATAAAAAAAAGTAAAATACTCTAAGCCACTTTCGTAGGGATCACGATTGCATTTAGCATATGCAACAAGCCTTTAAACTACAAGATTACCCTAAGTGGACAAGTATACTCTCATGAGGGTTTTCAGAAATGATACCCACAAACATCAACATAATCATATCTGCTCAACAACAATTAACCACACTACTCTACACAAAAACCAACTTATGTGCCACTACAGTATGATATTAAGACATGATGAGTCATTGAAGGCACAGTGGACAAGTATGAAGGAATCTATTGAGCCAAAACCACAATTCAGTTAATACAAAAGGAAAGTCTCCTGTACTTGTGAATGCTAGTAGACACATCATTAGTAGTCTCGGTGTAAAGTGCAATCTCCATGTTAGTTAACTGTCCACTATAATAGCCCAGCGTAACTCATAATAACACTCAACATATACAGAAAAACTAAACTGTTGCAACCAAGATTCTCAATTTATTTTTTTATTTTTTTTTTGTTGAAAGACTGTGCAATGTCCTGATCCATTAAGCTTTCTAATCAACCCATGTAACAAGCATTGGGCCAATGACTCCCAAACCAGACGGTTTTAGGGCACTAGGTGTAAAGACACCCCTAGGGGCTTAATAACTCGAGCTGAAAAGGTTACGAATCCGAACAAGCCATTCTCCTTATTTTTTCTTAACTATGCAATGTCTAGGTCCCTTAAGCTTTCTAATTAACCCATGTAGCAAGTATTGGGCCAATAACTCCCAAACCAGATGGTTTTAGGGCACTAGGTGTAGAAATACCCCTACGGGCTTAATAACTCGAGTTAAAGAGGTAACGAACCCAAACAAGTCAAGTGTTTTTTTTTTATTTTTTTATTTTAAGAATCTTGGTTACTCATGTATT